CACAATGTCCGTCATTGAGATAAGAGTCTTCCCACCATCCATCTGGAGAAGCTTGCCTGAAAACATGCTGCCTTTGAGGGATCTGCTCTTAACTACAGATCTAGAGAACATTTTATTTATACACAACTCCTCACATATTTTCATCTTGCGAAAATTATGATGACCACTGTGACGCAAGCGTCCATTACAGACCTTACATGGACATGCTTTTGGTGAATCCAGGGGATCTCTGTACTCCTGTGTATCCCAGTGGCCTCTGCCAGATGGCAGCAGAGGTTCTTCAGTCACACCATGTAATTTTATTTTCTTCCCCTGCAGTTCCAAATGTCACATTCTCCTCAAACAGTGTACAGGCTGTCTGCCCATCACAAAGATGAAATGTTAGTTCAGCCTTTGACAGATTTAGATGTAGAACAAGGCCGAGTGCTCAGCAACCATGTGAAAGAATTTGCAGGTAAAGTAGTTTTGAAGACTTGGGGCCAATAAAAAATATGTAATTGAATAGCTCCTAATCCTTTAGGTTGTTGTCACAAGGGGGCAGTAAAAGAATATCTAACACAACAGAGAGTGAATCCACTTTTTAAAGTTTCCACAATTTAAAACCCTAGTTTTTATGTTAAAGAAGAGTATTCTAAGCTTATATAAAATGTGTCTATTTTTACGGAAGGTACATCATGTCGTTAACATATGTAGGATTCTTCTCTCATTGGCTAGAGGAAGAAAATCCAGATCACAAACCAGAGGGCACTTGTGGTGGTTCTCAGTGTACTCAGGATTGAGTGTCACCGCCTGCCGCTAGCAAAAGGGCATCTTTCTTGTGGTAGCTGGAGGTCAGCTTCCTGACACCACTAGTCTTAAAGCACTCTCCTCTGAGCTGGCTTCACATGGAAGGTTAACAATAGGTGCAGCCCAATCCTTGAGTCCCTTTGAATTGTTATCCTGTGATATCCAGAACCTGACATTGACTATCCATGAAACTACAGATCCTCTGCACCCAAAGATGCAGTGTTGTACCCTAGTTTAACAGTTTTAACTTGGTAGTCCTCCTGTAAACTACATAGCATTTGTGAGCATGTGTAACAAAACAGAAGAAGGCTTATATAAGAGCATAGAGATTTAACAACAAACGAGAGGGAGAGGGTGGTAAAAACATGAGTCTGGGTCTACATGTATCAGTAGTCACTTTCCTAATTAGTAACAGATTTTTCCCCCAAACATTCAATCTTCCACTGAGCTGGCTGGTTCCATAAGAACCAGGACCCAAAAGTCCATGAAAGCAGCCTTGCTCACACAGCAATTTCTTTGGTGTTGGTCCCTCTGTATTATACTGAAAACGCCTCTGATAATTTTTCATTGATAGCTTTAGAAGGGAGCAAGAGTAATGAATTGAGCTGTTCATTATCTCGCCAGCTGATTAAGGAAGTGTGACAACTCCCTCTTGCTTGAATGCACCATTAAAGAGGGCACGTCTACGCTAAGGCCACATCTATACTTACATATATGTAAGTTTGAATTAAGACACACAACTCCATGGGCATCCGGTGGCTAAGGTGAGGGAAGGCTCTGCCTTCCCAACCTGCCAGCGTGGCTCCACCCACACTCCGGCCCCGGAATGCCTGATGTAAGCGTTCTGGGGCGGAGTGTTGCTGCCCCCCAGAACCTACCCTCCCCACGCTGCCACCTCCCTTCCTGCTGCTCCTGGGGGCAAGGAGGCTTGGGCCAGCTTGGGCCGCACAGCCACCTCCCTTCCCTCTGTTCCTGGGGGTGGGGGGGCTTGGGCTACACGGCTGCCTACCTTCCTGCTGCTCTGGTGGGAGTGAGGCTTGGACTTCACAGCTTCTTCCCTCCCCTCTGCTCTGGGGATGCTGGGGCACATGTGCGCGCTCTTCTCCTCCCCATGGTGGGGTGGGTGTGTGTGTCTGTGTGTGTGTGTATGCATGTGTACTTGGCACGCTGCTCCTCTTCCTCCCCTCACCGTGGTGGGGTAGAGCCTTAGCAGAGGGACAGGGCTGTAGATGGGGTTAGGGGCCTGTCTCCTTCAGCCCCCAGTTTCACTGACTACCCATGCGCAACTCCATCTATGTTAATTACATAGCTGGAGTTGATGTACCTTAATTTGAACTTTGGCGCCATCCCCACAGTGGGAATCGATAGGAGCAAATGCTGCCATCATTTTCTCTTATTCCTCACAAGGAGTAGGAGTTCTGGCATCGACAGAGGTGTCCTCAGCATTCAATTTAGGAGGTCTTTACTAGATCCACTAAATCAAACTCCGGAAAATCAACCACCATGGCACTGATCTTCCGAGAAGTAAAGACGTGACCTTCACTCTGCTGTAGTACTTAAAGACAGATACTTCTACAGTGAGTGGAGAGCTTCTCCCGCTGACATAGTTGATCCATCTTAGCAAGATGGTGGAAGCTGTATTGATGGGAGAAGCTCTCAGAGCATGTCTACATTAGAACATTATTTCAAAATAAGTAAAATATAAATAATTCCTGAAATAACAACATTGAAATAGCATGTCCCCACTATGGGGGAGTATTGGCATTACTTAGAATTATTTTGAAATAGCGCGTCCACTCTGATTGGAGCCTGCCTTGGACTTTTAGTGCCCCAGGAAGCACTCCAGGAAGGATACCAGGAGGGGGCACACTTTCTGTGGCTGCTTAGTCAGGCAAGCTGCAACTAGGGATGTTAAATTTAAATTAATTAACTAATCTAATTGTTGATGGGATTTCCATTGACTATTCGATTAGTCTATAAGGGCGCCTCTGCCTTTGAACTGTAGTAAGAGCTCTGCCGGGCTCTTGATACAGTTCAAAAGTGGAAGCCCCATAGAGAGTGTGAGGCCAGCAGAGGACTGGCCCCACACTACCTGAGACGCCTGAGCCTTTGAAATGTACAAGAGCTCCGGCGGGCTCTTGTACATTTGAAAAGCAGAATTGCAGCAGAACCGGCCCGAGTGGAGATTGCTTCAGTCCCCACTCATGCTGTTTTTGCTGTGTTTCTACCGCCCTTGCTCCCCGCAAAGATGGTGCTGGGGTGAATGGGATTTTAAGCTGGCTCCCCCCAGAACTGGCTCCTTCCCCCCCTTGCTACCTCTATCAAAGAGGCATTCTGGAAGTTCGCCATGCTGGACAGCTACCACTCTGTTGGGAACCAGTTCTGTGTGGGGAAATCCACAGTTGGAGCCATGCTCCTGCAGGTAGCCAACGCCATCAACCAGGTGCTGCTGTGGAGGGTCATCACGCTGGGGAACACGGACAGCATCATGGATGGCTTTGCTGCAGCGGGGCCGTAGATGGCACTCACATCCTCATCCTGGCCTCAGCCACCGTTCCTTGGACTACATCAACAGGCAGGGATGTATCACCATGGTGTTGCAGGCCCTTGTGGATCACAAGGGACACTTCACTGACCTTAGCATGGGATGGTTGGGGAAGGCTCATGACACCTGCATCTTCCGGAACTCATGCTTGTTCTGAAAGATGCACAGTGACACTTTTTTCCCCCACTACACCAACAGAGTTGAGGAGGTGCACATGCTCATCTGCATCCTGGGTGACCCAGCCTATGCAACATCTCCTTTGTGGTAGTGGCCTGCTGTGTGGCCTTTATTTCATTTCTTTGCCGAAGGCCATAAAGCAAGCTTTCAATATAAGTATACTATTATCAGTATCTATGTTGCATAGTGATTGTATTGACAAGTTACAAGCTTTCTGTAGATAAATGTATAGATATGTGTTCATAGATTAAAAACTATAATGAGTTTGTCAGATCTGAGATAGTGATTACAAAGAACAGGGGACTTTTTGCAAGTGAGTCTCTGTATCACAATTTTTACAGATGCTTAGCCAGAAAAGAATAATTTTTATGTGGAGTTCCGCTTACTGCTCCATATGGCACTTTTCATGAGCCTCTCAATCCTTGCTTATCTCATTTGCTTCCTTGACTCCCTCTTCCTTGCTTAGGGAATCCTATCTTTGTTGGGGGTTGTCACAAAAGCAAGAATACAAGGAGAAGCAGACCAGGTGGTTCAGCTTTGTACAGCCAACGCCTTTATTGTATTCTTTTTATAACAGGTAGAATGTTATTGCATACGTATGCAGGAGCAAGTAAAGTTGGATATCAGAATCCCCAGTTGAGATGCACTTCAAGCATGGAGCATTTTGTGTTGTGACAAAAGAAGTCATGGTCTATTAATTTTACTTTTGCTTTAAGTGTTTTTGAACTGGATGCATGTTTTTATTTATATACATTGTTTTAAGGGAAGGACGGTGCTGTTAGAGGTACAAAAGCTAGCAGGAGTAAAATCGTCCTCACCAAACCACTAGGATTTTCCCATATCCTGGGCCATGCTGTCTCCTTCTCACAAAAGAATGTGTAAAAAGAGATGGTATGCCTGAAAAGATCAGTTGTCCTCTTAAAAGGAAGGGAGGCTGGGTGCCATAGGATCAACTGAAAACAGTGTTGTCTCAGTGGTTTGCAGCACTTCTGACCTACCTTGCACACTTTCTCCTACCTGGCATCATTACACATTCAATTTCCTACTTACGTCTCTTGCAGCTAGAGGTGCCATAGAGGTGGGATTGCTTTAGCAGTAATTTAATATTCAGCTAACACATTTATACTGAAGTTCAAATGGAAACATTATATAGTTTCTGACTATTTGTGGCCTTCCGGTACAGTGGCCAGCAAGTGGCATCAAAGCAAAGGGAGCGATGCTACAATAGTCTATCCCATGTGTTGGGTTTCATTTTTTAAATTTTTTTTCCCCAACTTGGCTCCCTTCCACACCATGCAGAGGGACAAAGCATATGCCTCGGATGATCCTGGAGACCGAGATGGTAGCCTAACAGCTTCACAGGACACGTATTTTGGTAACCATATCAGAATTCTGGAACATCCTGTATAGGGGCATATTAAAATTTCGACTGAGCCAAATATATTCTCAAATCTGCTAAACTACAATTAACATGTAAATTGTTCTGTTACAGATAAATTAGAAAAAGCAAAAAATGAACAGAAGGAAAAATACAGTCTGTGGCTGAACCAGATACACATCTTTTTGGTCAACACGTTCTTTCCTGCCTACAAGCATGCTCAAGTGGTGAAGGAATGCATAAAAGAAAATAGGAAACGGGATGCTGAATTAGCCATTCAGTTGAAAATCAAAGAGGAAGAGGAAGAGGAAGCAAAGTAAGTCTTAATTAAATTAAATGCTTAACTCTACACCTAGAGACACCTAGAGAAAGGTCCTACACACATACTGTGTTCTTGAAGATTTAGCATTTGTGATATTGTCACTGTGCTCTTTGATTAATCGCAGACACGGGCTACTTTGAAAATGCCCTATCAGATGACTAATTTGTATAATGCAGCCAATAGGCTACTGTAATCAATTTCTTTTCATTTTCATAGAATGCTACCCAGAATGTTAAACACACGACCGCCTCTGGCATTTAGAGGAAAGGCCCTGAATAAGAACAGTGTAATCACTTTCTTCTTTTCTGAAGCACATTTGGCAGCTATTTCTGCCAATCAGGAGATAGGATAATTGTCACTTTCTCATCACAATCTGAATATATCACAGCAACCTGTTGTCACCAGGGGTTCACATGGAATTTAATGTTTTTTAAATCTCTCAATAGAACACTAAGCTACCTTTGAAACCTAGTCGCTTCCTTAGGGCTTAGGTTTCTTGCAGGGATGATCATTTTTCCCCAATAGCAGTGACTTCAACTCATAGAAAGAATGAATTGCAAAGCCTAGAGCAGTGTCCTTCATTGCAAGGCCCACAAGCCAGTTACAGCTCTCATTGACTCTAAGTGCAGCTCTAGTTTCCTCTAAGCTGCACAACAACCTATAAATAGCCATGCAGCAGCTCTACGAGGTCATGCAGAAGGTACCTGGAGAAGAGATAGGGGGTGGATGGGAATTGGGGAGGAGGGCAATTTTGAGCTTGCAGGGCTGCTGTGGGCCTCTCTCTTGGCCCTAGAGCTTCCTGCTACTAGAGGGGAGATAGGGACCCCTGGTCTGGAGCTCCATATTTTATTGCTTGTTGGCAGAGGAAAGAGAGCCCCCTTCCCCTGGAGCTTTCTTTGCTTGCTGGTGAAGAGAGGGCTGGGAGGAGTCCTCTAGCCCCAGCCCTGAGGCAATGTGCCTGAACTCCAAACTCCTCATCCCTGGCCCCACCCAGCCCCCGCATCTTAATCCTCTTCCAGGCACGCTTTCACTCATTCAGTTTTTAAAAACAAGTAGTTCTGTGGCACCTCAGAGACTAACAAAAATAAGAACATAACATAAGAATGGCCGTACCAGGTCAGACCAAAGGTCCATCTAGCCCAGTAGCCTGTCTGCCGACAGTGGCCAACACCAGGTGCCCCAGAGAGGGTGGACCAAAGACAATGATCAAATGATTTGTCTCCTGCCATCCTTCTCCAGCCTCTGACAAACAGAGGCCAGGGACACCATTTTATCCCCTGGCTAATAGCCTTTTATGGACCTAACCTCCATGAATGTATCTAGTTTCTCTTTAAACTCTGTTATAGTTCTAGCCTTCACAGCCTCCTCTGGCAAGGAGTTCCACAGGTTGACTATGCACAGTGTGAAGAACTTTCTTTTATTAGGTTTAAACCTGCTACTCAGTAACTTCATCTGGTGTCCTCTAGTTCTTCTATTATGGGAACTAATAAATAACTTTTCTTTATTCACCTTCTCCATACCACTCATGATTTTATACACCTCTAGCATATCCCCCCTTAGTCTCCTCTTTTCTAAACTGAAAAGTCCCAGTCGCTTTAACCTCTCCTCATATGGGACCCACTCCAAACCCCTAAGCATTTTAGTTGCCCTTTTCTGAACCCTTTCTAAGGCCAAAATATCTTTTTTGGAGGTGAGGAGACCACATCTGAACACAGTACAGGCAGTCCCTGACCTACGCGGATCCGACATATGTCAGATCCGCAGTTACGAACGGGGCTTTTCTCGCCCCGGAGGTCACGAACTGCGGGATCTCGCAGTCCCACCGCCCATGTACTCCGGGGTGAGAAAAGTTAGGGATTCCCTCAGTGTAAACCTAGTGGTGGGGCAAGTTTGATTAGGGTAATAACAAGAGTGGGGGCATGTCTGCTGTTCTTTGGAAATCCTTAGGTAGCAGAATGGTCTTTTGGGGACTGTTACCGACCAGCACTGATTAGCCTTCAGGCTGCTCTAAATTGTCTTACAAACGTAAAGCCTACTTTGGCTCCGGTCTTCTTATCTGTGCTCAGCAGTTTGGCCAGCTGAGGATTCATATTATAGATAGAACTGGTAGCCAAACAGTTCCCATTACAAGACACTCTTGTTATATATTTCTAGTTTTGCCAAACTTTAATGATTTAGGCTGAAGTTTTCCATGCTGGGTATCTGTTCTGGCTAATTTTATTGGAAAAAAAATCTCAGTCAAAACTATTCTGTCATTTCTGAACATGAGGATAGGAGAAAAAATAGGTTGTATTGACAAGTGACCTTTTATTTTAAAAGCTCTAGTACCCATGCTTTTTCAAGGAGGGTGTAATGTATGGCAGGGCTACTCAACATATGGGCTGTATGCAGCCCACAGCCTGTTTGTTTGCGGCCCATGGGTAGAAGCCAAAACAAAAAAATAGTCAATATAATGGTCTTCTGTTAATATGTGTTTTAGTAGTTAAATTCCTGGACTGTCATTGCTCATTAAAAGTGCTGTCATATGGGTGGAAATCGGGTAAATGTTGCATTTTATTAATATCAGCAGAACTGACTTAAATGGGGCCTGTGTGTTGTGTGGTCTTGCCTTAATCTTTGTATTCATGCCCATCAGTGTGAAAGAAGCTATTTGCATATATATTTGCATGTATATGCAACCACACTTAAATTGTGTCCGTCGGCATGTGCTGTGAGTATCATTGTGGCCCCCGGGGCTTCCAAAGTTGAATAACCCTGTTGTATGGAATATGAGAGACTATTTATAATATTTGTATTGATACCAGTATTATAAATTAGCAAGTAATCTGATCTGACATGCCATGTAAGATATCTGTGAAAATGTTATGATTTGCCAAGTATGATAATTTTGTTTATATGTTTGTATCATATGTAACAAGATTTATAGATATGCATGATATCCAAATTTGTGCTGTTTTTCTGGGTCTCCACTGTTGGAGGCTAGGACTTCGGAATGGAGTCTGTTACTATATATAGAATACTATGGAGTCAAAGATGGCATCTGGGGCTGAATCTTCAGTGATCACAATGTTCTATGAGTGAGAGCGCAGAGGTTTAAGTCACTGCTCTGCAGATTACGGAGATAGATATATATAGATATATACCAATCTATCTATCTATCTATATAGATAGATAGATAGATAGATAGTTATCTATATCTATATCTATATCTAACTAACTATCATTATATTATTCTGCTGTTTAAAAGTGTATTTGTATAGGTGACTCTTTAATTCCTTATATTTTTCTGGTTATTTTATAACGGAGTACCATTTTATTGCACAAGTAGACTTTGTTACGTTACAGAGCCACTCATCTACCTTACATCATTAATGAGTAGTAATCAGTGTAATAGTTGATGTGGCTCTCACATTTAAGAGTTTTTTCCAAAGTGGCCTGCACTTCAAAAATAATGAAAAGCATTGTATCATATCTTCCAGGGATAAAGGGAGGGGGGCGGGCGTGCATTGCAGATCCAGTTGACTTTACTTCCATGTCAGCATTTCACTTTAATGAACCTTTTATTTGGCTAATGTTCATCCCACATAGATCACGATGAGTTTCTTTTCTATAATGAAAGGTCATTGGTCTAATTAGAGCAGACTAGGTACTTGTCTACACACACAAGTTATATCAATTTACACAGGTATAGTTAAGGTGATATGAACACTTATGTATAGACACAATTCTATTGATGTAAAAGTCCATTGCTATAGTAATATATTCTCTATATGGGATGGAAGTAATCTCTACTGGTATCCAGGTCCTGTAAACAAATATAACTTTTTACACTACATTGGTAAAAAGATCAGACTCCTCACTAAAATAGTTATACCAGTTCAAAAACTGTGTGTAGAACAGATCAAAATAAACATAACCAGACTCAGAGAACTTGTAGGCAAGGTCCTATGGGAAGAAAATGGAAGAAAAAAAAAGTAGTTCAGGAGAGCTGGCAATTTTTAAACGAGACAATATTAAATGGACACTTTTTTGAGGGGAAGGAAAGGTAGGAAGAATAATAAATCAATATGGCTCCCTCAGGAGCTCTTTAATACCTGAAAATAAAAAAGGAATTCTACAAAAAGTGGAAACATGGACAGATTGCTAAGGTGTATGAAAGAATAGCACAAGTTTGTAGGAATAAAATCAAAAAAGCTGAGGCACAAAATGAGTTACCTCTAGCAAGAGACATACAAATCAATTAGAAGAAGTTCTTTAAATATATTAGGAGCAAGAGAAAGACGAAGGAAAGTGTAGATCCTCTACTTAGTGGGGAGGGAGAACTAATAACTGATGACATCAAGAACAGTGAGGTGTTTAATGTTGATTTTGCTTCAGTCCTCAGTAAAAAGGTTAATGGTGACCAGATATGCAATACAATTAATATTAACAAGAAGAATGGAATGCAGGACAAAATATGGCAAGATCAATTTAAAGAGTATTTAGCTAAGTTAGATGTGGTCAGGTTAGCAAGACCTGATGAAATTCATGCTTGATCTTAAGGAACTAGTCGAAGCAATTATCTTTGAGAATACTTAGAGGACAAGTGAAGATCCAGAAGACTGGAGAAAGTGCAACGTTTGCCTATCTTTAAAGAGAATCAAAGAGATCCCTGGGCATTATAGCCCAGTCCATCTAAATTTAATAATTTATTCCTGTATCTTTCCAGATATCAATCAATTTGTAGGCATCTGGAGGATAAACGGATTATAAGGAACAGCCAGCAGGGATTTGTCAAGTATAAATCATCGCCAAACCAACCACATTTCCTTCTTAGATGGGGCTGTTGGGCTAGTGAATAGGGGGAAGCAATAGCTATGGTGCAGTCTTGATTTTAGTACATATTTTGAAAGCCCTACATAATTTTCTCATAAGCAAACTAGGGAAGTGCAGGCTAGATTAAATTACTATAAATGGGTACATAATTGTTTCAAAGACTTGTAATGAAAGTGTGG